AATACTTCTGTTTTTGTAGTTATTCATGAACAAACACAATCCCTTTTAAAACAACCTCTAAAGGAACACTTCTTAAGCCACATGGACACTGTGCTGCACAGAGCTACTCAGTATTTTGGGAGATTCTTTTTTTTCCTTTTGCAGACTCGTATTCTATGAGTTAAGTAGGTAAATTAGGGATACTCACCTCAAAAGGATTTCAATGGTTACTAGAACCTAGTCCACTCTCATAAGCGCCACATCTTACAACCCTTTCCCCCAATTCATAGTATCTGTAAGGTTTTGTAACTTAGTATGTCCCTGAACTATTTTACTCTCACTATTAGAAACCTTTTTTTAAATTGCCAGCCTAAATTTATTCATAGCCAGATTATAGCAATTTGGTTTTACGACAGTGATGGCTTTCGGTTTAAATAGTTCATCTCACTTTATGATATGTATATTAAGAGGAATTTTATCCTCTTTCAACTCTTTTTTTTTATTATTTTTTGTGCCTAAATGTGCCAAACATTTCTGCCTTAAAAGAAAAAGCTAAGTTCTTCCTTCCCCTGATTTTTCACATCTGTTTCAGATTTTAAATCACTTTGCTTGAACAAAACTACACAGTATCCCTGAGGAGATTTCCTCAGGACCGTATCTGATAGCATGAGTACTTCCCTATCTCTGTCGAAATTGCCTCTTCTGATATAATGCAGGTTCTTTGCATAAAAAAACTCTTTCCATCCTGGTAACCTCTCATCTCCTTCTGTTTGGATTTAAATTCCTTTGTCTGGGTAGCTGATTTACATAAGAGGCACAGCACTCCCATTGTGTATTAAATAACAAATTATAAACTGGGTTTTCCTTGCCAAAATATTTACTGATATTAACTACAGGAGCCACCTTCCATAAGATATTGACACAGCATTCCCACTGATTTAGAGGTTTTCAGAAGCCATCTAGATGCTTTCCTGTCATTCATCTTCATAGATCAGTGGCAATGAATGCCACCAAAAACTGTGGCAATTATTAAATTTCCTGCAGGATTCTTTCTTTCAAAGAATTATAGGGAATAGTGCACTGACACATATTCAGCATCACCAGCCCACTGCTCCCAACTCATATTAACATTGGTAGCAACAGTTGCAATTATTTAGTGTTCTGCAAAACTTGATAAAACATTATTAAATATGTATTTGTTTCTTTCAGCTCTATCCTGTAATGTTGAAAGCTCCTCTCCTTGGGGAGCTCAGCACACTACAGAATCCCTTGTTTGCCCATGGATACAAGGGATCTTTACTATACAGATTAAAAGATGGGTGACAGTAGATTTTTCTACTGCTACCTCCCATCATTTATACATCAGTTGTTTTTATCACGTGGTTGATTTATGCTCTGAATGCTAGATAGAGAGATAAAGCAAAATGTAACTTTTATCTTTAAAAAAACCTATCATGCTTAAGTCAAGACCTCTCATAAGAAATTGGGCTCAGTTAAGAAGTATCTCCTCAGTGCCGGCCTTTGGCTTCGTCTCTACAATTTATTCATGATCAGTTGAACACTTGTTTATGGTGATCAGGGAGTATGGATAAAAAAAGCAGTTGCTTTTTGCCTCACTGGTATACAGACAGGGGGAAAATAGAAACCCTAGCAATGAGTCCATATAGTGATAAATTTTTCTGAAGTATTTTAGTCTAAAAGTTGGGCTCTATCTATTGCAAATGCAAACAGGTTATATAATTTAAGACCTGAAAAAAAATAAGGCTACTGGACATTATGAAAAACAATTGCTATATATGTTCAGGTGAAGCTAAACTTTAAAAACAGTCTGTTTCCTGCCAGGTAAATGACAATAATAAAACAAGGAGCACAACACTGCTTTACTCAGTAGCTGAAAAATAATAACGTTTCCATCAAGTTTCAAGTAATCTTCATTTTAACATTCTTTGTTGTTCTCATTAATATATGCTTTTCCAGTTCTCTGTCCTATTATCTCTATTTTCATCATTCTGTCTCTTTCATGGGTGTGTGGTACGTGACCTTTATCCCATTCAAATCAGAGTCAAACAGTGGTGCAGAATACAGATATTAATCTCTGACACTTTGTTATTTACATAAATATACATTATTCTATTTAACCAAAAGCAGAGGAAGTTAACGATTTGAGATTTTTTTTTTTTCTACAACATTACTATCTCTCCTGAGACTTCCAAAGGAGGAGAAAAAATAATGGGAATCAAAATATTATTCTAGTCGCTGCCTGATTGTTCCGTGGTTGGAAAACCCTCCTGCTG